ACAGTTTCTCATGTTGTGACCCAACCATAAAATTATTTTCGTTGCTACTTCATAACTGTAATGTTGCTACTGGCATGAATCGTAATGTAAATATCTGATATGCAGGATGGTCTTAGGCGACCCCTGTAAAAGGGGTCTAGCAGGACCAAAGGGGTCGCAACCCACAAGTTGAGAACCGCTGGTCTAGATGGTTGAGGTTTATGACTTTCCAATAAGTGCAATGTCAGTGAGGGTTATTAACTCTCATTAGTGCCTCCTCAGAAGCACGTTCTTCTCATTAGTCTTGGAGAAGTCATGTTGTAGTGTGAATGGGCATGAGTCAGTAGTCATCTAAGCTCTTTTGCTGGGTGAACTGAAATAGACTAAAAGAAAGAGAGTGAGAGAATTGAGACCTGTATTAATGCAGTAGCATTTTTAAAAATAACCCAGTGACAATGAACCTTGTTGTCTTTCCCACCTTCCCTTGTAGGTAGGCTTTAAGCCGGCAGGAGGCATCCGCAGTGCCAAGGACTCCCTGGCCTGGCTCTCCCTCATAAAGGAGGAGCTGGGAGATGAGTGGCTAAAGCCAGAGCTCTTTCGGATCGGTGCCAGCGCTCTGCTTTCCGACATTGAGAGGCAGGTGAGTAGTAACCCATTGTCCTTGGAACAAACTGATAAGTGTTTTGGAGAGAGAAACGAAAAGTCGCCTATAGGGCTGTGAGAACTAGAGGTGAAAACTCATTTGACTTGCCCGGCTGGCATAGCTCAGTGATTGAACATCGACCTATGATCCAGGAGGCACGGTTCGATTCCTGGTCATGGCACATGCACGGGTTGCGGGCTCGATCCCCAGTGTGGGGTGTGCAGGAGGCAGCCGATCAATGATTCTCTCTCATCATTGATGTTTCTATCTCTCTCTCCCTCTCCCTTCCTCTCTGAAATCAATATAAATATATTTAAAAGCAAAACAAAACTCATCTGACATATATCATCATATCGAAACTTCTGCCTTCTTCCAAGCAAAACTGCCCTGAAGTAGGTTGGATGGAGGTTTTGCTGAAGTGCAGAATAATGGGGCTTTATAATGAAGTGTTAATTAACATCATTAATTATTGTATAATAGTATGATTATTAATTAATGTGTAATAATATAACAATTATTAATTAAAAAACTGTTTCCCTCACAGATTTATCATCACGTGACTGGAAGATATGCAGCTTATCATGATCTTCCAATGTGTTAAGCCCAAAATGGATTCCAGAAAACATTTTTCACAACGTTTAAAAATTATTTCTCTACATGATTATGAAAATTACTTAATTAAAAAATGAGAGACTAGGTAACTGCCTTTTTCCCCTTAAAATTTCCGTTGAATTTAATTCAGAGAATAAAAGAAAAATGCCAGCTAATCCACACATGGAACTCATTTCAGGTACATCTGAAATGCCCTTAATGACTAGATCTGCACTGTTAATTGTGTGAAGGTTTTCTCTTTAAAACTCTGAGTATCACGTTAATGACAGCATTGACAACATTAAATTCTAAGGAAAAAATGTTGACGTGCCCAAGAAACGTGCAGAAGAAACTGGCCCACTCCTTCCTTCAACGACCCTGGACTCACCGGCTCCGCACTAACTTCCTGCCATGAAAATCCGCCTTTAATTTTTGCAACAGATATGCTCTTTTACTAATTGTTTTATTAATGAAATGCCTGTCATTGCAATATGAAACTATGGATGTCATTGAATTTTTTAAATAAAAAAAATCCCTGTAGTTTATTTTTTTTCATTTTAAATTGTCACCATACATTGCAAACATAAATTCATAAAAAATATTAAGAGGTTATCAATGACTTTCTGAATCCTGACTCTCTCTGTTAGAGTCCAGGGGTACTTATCTCAGGTGAAGCACCCCAGGCCATTATTAATGAGTACAACTTACGTCTATATTCTGAAACTTAAGATTTATTAGTACAGTGAATTAGGGGTAAAACAGCAGACACTAACATAACACTTAATAAGTGCTCAACTCTTTACATACATCAATTTACTTAATCCTTATTTAATCTCTATAACAGTGATGTAACTACATGAAGGTTTTAAATCCTTGCAACAATGAATACTGATATTATCTTCCTTTTATTCAGATGCGGGACTGAGGCACAGAGATTTAAGTAACTTGCCAAAGGTCACGGAGCTCAAAAATTAGCAGTTAAGAATCCAGCCCAGGCAGACAGGCTGGCTCCGGAGCCTGTGCGGGCACTCCCGTGTGGAACTGCCCCTCAGCACACCGAGCACACAAACAGCTCAGTGGTGTGGGATCATCGTCTCTGTTTTACTCAGCTGGTTCCTTTGCCCACTGAGGTCTCTCCCCACGTCACACCTCCACCTGTGCTGCTTGCTAGCACCTTTACCACATTATAAAACCTGTTTTTTCTTTTTTGTTTAATAGTTAAAATAATTTATTTTGATACAATTAATTGATATTAATTTTCAATCTAAAACTGCATCAGGAAACTGATTACATTTCCAAATCGACATTCACTTAGTTCATACTATGAATCAGGTACTCAGACAGTATTTTTTAAAATTTCTTTATTGATTAAGGTATTACATATGTGTCCTTCCCCCCCATTACCCCCGCATCTTCCCCACTCATGCCCTCACCCCCCTGTTGTCTGTGTCCATTGGTTAGGCTTATATGCATGCATACAAGTCCTTTGGTTGCTCTCTCTCCCTTACCCCCACCCTCCCCTACCTTCCCTCTGAGGTTTGATGGTCTGATCAATGTTTCTCTGTCTGGATCTGTTTTTGTTCATCAGATACAGTATTGAGACGCTTCAGGGCATTTGCTCATTTAAAAATATATATATATTTTTCTCATCACCATTTATCCCCTCTTGCCCCTATTTTTTTTTTTTTAATGGTGATTTTGATGGAGTCTTCTCCTTCCTGAATGAATCTCTAGCTACTCATGAACGAGAAACTGGGAGTCATTGCAGTTGTGACTCTCACCTGCCGGCTCCTGGCCCAGCCCCTTCCTCTTTCTAGCTCTGTGACCTTGGCCCAGTAGGTTCACATTTCTGGACCTCCGTTTCTTTATCTGTGAAATAAAAGGACTGAGGCAGGTGATATCAAGGTGCTTTCAGCCCTAACATTACAATGCCCTAAGGATAAACCATAACAGATCCAAGAAGATGCTTTATGGCTATAAAGAGAAAAAGTTTATTGTAGCAATCTAAGTTAGAATTCGCCTCTCAGGAGTCAATTAGGCAAGTCCCTCAAAGCACCTCTCTAACTGTAAATGAAATGACGGAAATAAGTACAGAGAAGTAATCCTGCTTTCCCCCCAACACCTTAGCAGAAAGCTGGCTTTTGACTTATGTCTTTGGACGTGGTCAGTGACTCTGAATGCCGCTTCCACCTTCATAACAGGCTGGCCCAGGTGTCCCCCAGCACAAAGGTCAGTCACCTTTGGAGAAGAAACTGCAGAAAATAATTACACTCTATCACCTTTGAAGCTATTTCAATTTCACAGGGGTTTCTGTTTTCCTCCCATTCAACCCAGCTGGTCACTTTAGTTGATCAAGTGAACAGGCATCATTATCTTCAATTCTAATTTATATGAGACATCCACAGAAATTGACCTCTGTGGACGATTATAGATTCACACAGGAAATTAAGACTGGTGAGCCCCTCAGACCTATTAGAGACTGGTGAGCATGGCCTGCTCTAAAGGTAAATAATCTTGTATTTTGGGGGACAATTTATTCCAAGGACTATTGGCCTCTTCATCAGAAATGTCTGCCCCTTACCTGGCTCTTGAAGTCAAATATAACAAGGATGACTTTAATAGAAGCTCCCAGGCAGTGTTGATTGCTATGAAAACATAAGAGGAAGAGGTCATTTCTGAGGTGATTGTGACTTACTACAAGCAGATTTGTCTGCTTGAGAACACTGGGAGCCGATGCTTTATGCAACCAAAAAAATGAGTTTTGCTGTGTTGTGTTTAAAGCTTCTAAGTTCATAAAAGCAACCTCCCCCCAAATTGTCACAATTGTTGAATAAAGCATATTAGGTTTTAAAGATAACGTAAAACAACCAATCATAAAGTTTAGGGGCTTCAAATGACTTTAGGGACTATCTAATTTTATCCTTTTTTTTTTTTTAAATGTGAGAAGAGAAACTCAAAGTGGGAAGTCACTTATGCAAAGTCACAGAGAAAGTAAATCCACATCACGCCATGAAATATTCTACAGGTCATAGCCAGGGGTTTGGAATCGACATTTCGTAATTGTTTATAAATCCTGCCATACCTCGTATTATGTTTGTCAACATGTGAGCTTTAGACTTTTGAAGGACTCACTTTTGCCTCTGGGAGTCTTCTGAACGGTGTTTGGAGATGATCAGCCATCTAAATCTAGTCCAAGTGCTGGTGTGGTTAATTTTATTTCTTGGACTTGCAGAATTTTTGGTGACTTCAAGAACTGAATATTTTTTTTAAAAAGGTAGTTCAATGTTGCTTTTTAAAAAAAGAAAAGAAAACAGGGGGCCTTGTTTGGATTCTAGTTTGTCTATTAATGGAGAGAAAATGATGTATACTTGCAAAACAATTTCATAATTATTATATAGTTGCCTCATTGTGGATTATTTCAGCACTAATGAGAAATTTGGGCATCTTAGTTTGTATGAAATACAGCATCTGAGGAGACCTATGCAAAGTGGGAACCATTTCAGATATCTTCCTGGAAGTGCATCCTCACAAGAACGTGATACAGTGTCTGTCCTGATGGAGCAGAGCAGTTTGCTGTCCTACGTCTGTGTCTCAAGCCCATTCTAGAAAACCACGTGTTTCTTTGGAAAAATCAGCTTGCACTTCTAGTCCATGGGGAGACCAATATTAATTTTTCTTCTGTCAACTTGATCATTTTTTTTTACAACATAAATAGGGCCAGAGTGCAGAAATAGAAAAGAAGAAAGAATTAGATTTGATTGCATTTTCTAAGGAAATGAAACGTTATGCCCATTTGGACACTATGAAAAAGGTATGAGGTGAAATCAATTCCTACAATTGTTTTCCTGATCATGTGCAAGAGTCTTGCCTCCCAAAGGAACATAGATATTTTATAACCATCACCAAATGATCCTTTCCAGAAATGACCACAGGTAACATCTGGCTGATATATAAAATATGTAGTAAAAATAATCATTTTTAATTAACTAAAACCTGCTCAGGAGAGAGAGTCAGAGGAATAGCCATCTGGTCAATTCTCAGTTAATAGGACAAATGAGGATCGAATGTTTAATGCGATATATGTGAAATAGTTAGTGACCTTATGATGAACTAAAACTTTTTTTTAGGAAGAACAGGGGTGAGGAGGAGGAATCAGAGTATCTAGAAAGAACAGACATAAAATTTGATTTTTTGTTTTTAGAAGTCCATCTTATACTATAAAATGTAGGTAGAATAGAAGAAGCCTAGGTTTTGTGGCATTATTTTCTCTGGTTCAGGGACAGGAAATGAGTTGTAATTCATTTGAACAGTGAAATGAGGTTATACTTTATTCTGGAGCTTGACGAGGATGATGAAGAGTTTTAAAAAGTCATTATAAACAAAGGTAAAAGGATCTGGGAGAAGATTGAGGGTACTTGATGTCTAACGGTCCCAGGAAAGGGTACTTCTACATTAGATCTTAGCAGACAAGAGTCCTGTATTTCCTCTAGAGAAGAGGAAATGAGCTCATGCTACATGTGAAGTTAGGTTAGTTCAAGGGAAGATTCCTTTAATGCTCTGAAGTGTGTTACTAAAAAGGGACATTTGCTATTCCCTTCTCAGAAGTAAATTCTTTGATCGGAGTGGTTAGTTGTGCTGCCAAAAAAAACAGTTCCCTACTTTCCCAAACTATTTTACATGAGAAATACTGGGAGAGTTTATAAAACACAGAATTCCAGCCCTACCCCCAGAGTTTCCAATTCAGTAAATTGGCTCTGGGGCCCCAGAATTTGCATTTCCAAGCAGTTCCCAGGTGATGTTAATGCTATGACCGGGGAACCACACTTTGAGAACCACTCGACTGGAAAGCCAGTACTCAACACCTAGATTTCAAAGTAAATGCCTCTTTCCGTGATAAAACCCACCAGTGGCAGCACTTCTAAATCATGAGACTCCAGGATAGAGGTGTATATTTTGTTGCTTTTCATAGCCAAGAACAGGAGACAGAACAATGGAAATGACATTATCCCTTAATCCTTTCACAGTCGGCAGTGAACTTGATTACACTCTGGGCTTAAAAGCAAGCTTCGGAGCCTAGAATAAACATTTTAGATGAGGTTAGAATAATTATCCACAAAATCTTCCAAGGGATTGCGGCAAGCCGAGATAGATTCAGCTGTATGTGACTTTTACCTATTGGAATGCCTTAACTTTTGGTGATTCCAGTATAATTGCACTTAAACCCAAGACCTATTTTAACAGAGTCCATTCTTTAATTTATATTTGAAATTGATAAAATATTCCAGGGAGGGAACTTTTCTCAGGTGCTTGGCTTCTTAATGTGAAGCTACTGTGTAAGGGGTAAGGAAAACATTAGGTCCTGTCCTTTTTAACACAAAAGGATGTTTTACATTTGTTTTTATTATATTTTTATTTATTTCAGAGAGGAGCAGAGAGAGAGAGGACGAGAGAGAGAGAATCAATGATGAGAGAGAATCATTGACCAGGCACTGGGACCAAGCCCGCAACCCAGGCATGTGCCCTGACTGGGAATTGAACCA